CGCGCCCCCCGCCGATTCCTGCCGCACTACCCATTCCAAAAATGTGCTAAACTTTTCAAAATAGGCGCATGATATGGAACATCCCATTGGTAAGCACAGGTCCATGAAGAACCCCCCTCAAAGCAACACCCCAATAGGTGATGACACTTCGGGTGTATGGGAAGCAGCTCGAAAGCTGCTTCCACATCTACCGTTGCCATCAACGCCCCTCGCCCCGTTCTCCGGACCAACTCAACTGCTTTGTCGAATGATGTATAGGATACAGAGCATAGGGCCACGTCGATGTCATCATTTACCAAGGCCACTTTAGGGTACGATAAGTGCTGTATCAACCTGAACTTACCCGCCTTCTTTTTGGGGACCTCCCCGAGCAGGGACATCCGCTAATGGCGGGAACGGTCCCGCCATCCTTCCCAGTTGGACTTCTTTGTTTAGCTTTTCCCGCACCACCCCCGGGTGTTCCCGAACACACCAGGTTCCTATAAAGGGGGTCATAAAGCCCTCCCTAAACCCCTGCCATAAGAATCTCGCATCGTCCTGGTTAGCGTATTGCCTTAGCGAAGGCAACATCGCGCCTATTTTCACTGGGGATGCCCCCAGCTGCAGCCGTGGGGGTCATTGCCCCTGCGTTTCCCCCACCGACATTAGGCTTACCTTTTTTGAAGCATCTGCTGGCACCGTGATTCTCCCCGCAACCCAAACACTTGTGCCGAAATCGGCATGAATTTCCCCACTTGCATTGGCCTTTGTTATACATCCGACAGAAGCCCTTCTTTTGTCCCGCCGGCATAGCACCTCCTGTGGCCGTGCCGGCTGACCCAGGAAAGGGCGCAGCTTTCTGTGCCATCATAAGCCTCATCCATAGCGGCAGGTCCATCTGGTCCCACCGCATGCTAGTGCTAGCTGCTAAGCGTTGACGAAACTGCTTGTCATATCTCCACCATGCCAAACCCCTGTATGTCCGATACGCATCCCCTATCCCATCCAAGTAGCAGAAAAGCTGTGAACAGCGCCCTGGGCTCCTTTCCCTGATTACGCTAGCTAGGATACAAAATGCCTTCAGCCAATTGCCAAAGGTCTTTTCTCCTCTTCCTCCTTCTTGGCATCCTTCTTGTCCTCTTCCTTTAAGTCCAAGAATTCCTCTAGGGGAAGCAGGGAAAAAATTTCCACAAACTCCCCTTTCCAAATGTTTTCTTTTATGTCTGACTTCAAATGACAACCAAGGGGGCCCGCAAAGGACACGTGTACGTTTTGAAATCGCCACACCCGACCACCTGCTCGTCCCCCCTTCGGCTGTCCCGGACGACGCTGCCGCTTCGCCTGTCTCGCCACCACTTGTCCCGTGCGCCAACACCCCGGTCGACCTAACTGCCTTGTCCGGAGACCATACCCTCCCGAACCGTAGTCGTCACTCCCCCCCCCCCGACCATGACTACAAAAGTATTTTTAGATAGCACACAAAAACACTTGTACTACGGCTTACTAAGGTATATTGCAAGAGAGGGGGATAACCCCTAGTGGAATTGCAAGAAGAAAGAGAGGAGTAATATACCTGTATTGGGGTACTGGAAAATTAATAAATGTACCAGCGGCAGACTGACCATATGGTACAAACAAAACAAAAAAATACTTTATTTCGATTGTTTAAAAATTGCCGCAAAAATTAGGCAACACCCAAGTGTAACACACACCCACACAAAAATATGTGAAAATTTAAATAAAAGAAAAAAATTAAAAAGTCAATGAAACTAGCTAGATAGCTGTAAATATGAGAGGTTATGATATTGCACTCACAGGGTATATTGGTACAGCACACGTCTGTGCAGTATCAAACTATAACTAAATCATACACTGAATAATATATGGGGGGGAGCTGGTATGGGGGATGTAAATGCCTGCATATGCAAAAGAATGTGCTGCCTTCAAGCCGGAAAGCCTATGAAAGAAGTTGATGAAAGAGTTAAGCCTGGTAATACAGCATGGCGGGTTAGCCGGTATACCGAGGAAATCCGGGACAGAAGAGGCAGTTTGAAAGAAAGAGATAGTGAGTTATATGAACTACAAACCCCCCCCGTGCCTTCAAGGGCACCTAGAGCCAACCCCCCTTGTAGATAAAAGAGATGGAGTGCAATGATGAAACCAACGAGTTAGATTGATAGCATAGTAAATCCCTGACGCGCACGTTTCACCCGACCAGGCTTGTCAGACGAGCCTGGTCGGGTGAAACGCGCGCGTCAGGGATCCGTGAGAGCAGCCTGAGGGGCCCTCCTGCCTGCTGCCGAAGCTCCCATCATCCCCTTCCTGTGCTGCACCCAGTGTCTCTCCCCTGTCCGCTGTGCCTGGCCTGCCTTTGGCCGCCTCGCCTGGCAATGGTTCCTCCAGCCCCCCTGGCAGCTTGCGTTAACACCTGCCGCCCTTTGCATGTTCTTGCTCCCTTGCCTCGCCCTTCTGTCACCTCCCTGGCAATATCTCCATTCCTGGCCCCTTCCATGGCCGCCTCTGTACTTGCCCTGCTGACCGGGCCACCCCTAGGTGGCTGGGGGGCTGCCTGTGTGGAGCAGCTCCTTGTCCCACCGGGACGCCTCATGGTTCCACTGCCATCCACGTGGTCTGCCGCCTTCCTGGCCGCCATCCTGGCCATGCAGGATTCCTCCTCTTGTGCCGGATTCCTCTTTGCTGCTGGCCCCTGCTTTACAGCCGTCCTCGCCTGACCAGCGTCGCATCAAACAGATGGCGCCGGTCGCACTCCTGTAACCTCCGACCCTCCTGCCTCCTTGCCGGATGCCAACGGACTCCTCCTGGATGCTGGCGCCATGCCCGGGCTCAGCCGCTGGGGCGGTCGTGCACTCCGTGCCATCCTTCGTTCCGCTGTTGCTGGAGGGGGAACAGCAGCACCCAGTTGCTCGTGCAACCACGCCAGCCCTCGGTCCTTCACCGCCGCCCGTACTCCCGCGAGGATCTCTTCCAAAGACACCATGGACCTGCAGAAAAAGACGAACCTCGCCGACCTGTCACAACTAACAGGTAAGCGAGGCTCCGATTAGAATGACCACTCTCTAAGATGGCCGTTATTTAACTACCCATACCCCATCCCCAAGCTCCATTAGCTTAATCCAGCCCCTTAACTAATTATGTCAAGGCCCACTCCCCCACTTCTTTGTTCCATGGGCTTCATGACTAGCAGTGGATGAAATTCTTTACCATCGCCCCTAGAGTTTTTTTGGGAGCAAAATTAATTGTCAATTGACACATTCTACTACATGTTAAAATGCTTTAATAACTGGGAATAAATTGAGATTAATTTTGCCATTGGCAGTTTTTTTTTGATAAGCAGCAGACTTTGCAAAGAATGTTGCTTTGCCTTCTGTAATCCTATTTTGTAAAGTAAAATAAATGAAGGAAACGTAAAGTGTGAAATAAACATAAAAGACAGACATCTAATTTCAGAAATCAGATTGTACTCTTTGTGAAGAAAGTTTTGTGGGTCACATTCAAAATACATGAATGTCGTCTGGCATAATTGTCTGTAAAACCTCTTTGTAAACCATTTGACTGTTTGAGAGATCCTATCTCTCTGTGAAATAGATAAACAAAGGCAATTATTTTTTTTTTTCACAGTCAAGGCAAAGAGCTGAATTCCGAAGATTATTACAATGAAATTTATTCGAAGAATTCTGCTTCAATAAATAACCAAAGCCAACATGACGCTTTTTCTGCAATGGAGTTTTCAATCTTAAATCCAAATGAAAGGTAAGAGTAATGAGTTACTTTCCCGCAAACTCAATAGAAAGTGTAAAATAGGAGTGTTCAATTTAGGCCGGTCTACCCTTGCTTTGGAGGAGAACAATGGGATTTGTATTCCAATAACAGGTCAAAGGCCAGGTTTAGTGACATCTGGTGTAAAGATATTAAATAACACTCATCTACAGACCTCCAGAGGTTGACATGCAAAATATTGTTTTTAAATTGTGCACACACGATACTACAGAATAGATAGTTCTTATGAGATAGTTAACACGTATGCACAAGATAACTGTCTTAGTGCCACCTCCTCCTCTGGTCCTTGTCTGGGCTTCAATGAAGCATAGGAGTCAACCACCCATATAGTGTGCACACAATTTAAATGAAATTATTTACTTCTGGGGCTCCATACTCACCTGATTAACAAGAAAACTTGACTAAAATAATATAAATAAGAAAAAAATCAAAAAGTGAACCACTGTAAAATTTCACATCAGTGATCAGGAAAAAATGTGGAGGATAAGGGAAACAAAAAGTTTGCCAGTAAACAAACTATTATATTAATCCTAATCTTCAAGCTGATGTTTCTGCATAATTATATAGTTTTATAGACTGACTGACTCAAATTTTTCGCATATCTCTCTTGGTGATCCAAAAGAAAGAAAAAATAATTTGCAGCAATTTCTAAATTTGCCACAAAATAACAAAACTATCTTTCTTTATAACAAAATGGCAGTCAGATTTCTCATTGGCTCAACAAGCTGTTCTTCTAAAAATTCCAAAACAAAACAAAAGAAGCTTTAAGGCTTTGTTAAAAAAAATCTGATGATAACAATGACAGTTTAGGGTGAACAATGTTAGAGTTACAAATTATCTACCAACAAAAAGACTTGCGATTTGTAAGCTGAATTCCAGACTTAAAAGAACTATGTTCCTTTTGAAAAAAAATAAAATATTATTTTCTCACCAGATCATCAATCTCTGAAGCTGCACAGCAAGGAAATAAATTGGAAGATAATCCATATGACTACAGGAAAATTCTACGGAAAACCTCCCAGCGTGAACGCCTTATTCAAAAAGTTTAACATAGACTTTTTTGCATTCATTTTTTATATTATTCTTTTTTTGGAATATTTAAAGAAAATATTTACATTAAAATAACATTCTCATTTTCATAATGTTTTGCGATATATATAGACAAAGTAGAATTTATAATAAATTAGGTACATTATTGCAAATTATTTAAACTGTATACAATAAATCACCTTAAATACTTGTCTACAATAAGCACCTATCACGACTGATATATTTGCTAGTTCTATCTACATATTTCTCTAAAGATGATGGCCCATTGTTCTGTAAAGGTGGTTCTGAATGATTGCATTTTCACACCCCCACAATGGTCGTGATACAGTCATCAGTCATGGAGCTGCTGAAGATGCTGTTGTTGAAGTTGCCTCCATGGTGCTTTTTGGACTACAACACATGATTCCACGTCAGCCCTGGGCTACAAAACTTTATAGGATTTCTAATGCAACATCATCTAGGGCAGAGGTAGGCAACATTTGGCATGCCAAATTTTGCAGACTACATCTACCATAATGCTGGCAAAGTATCAAGGGAGATATCCAAACATCTGGATTGTCGAAGTTTGCCTACCCCTGATATGATATTAAGGTGATAATTGGATCATTACCAAAAAATGAGATTGTTTACAAGACTTGAACTTACTTAGAGTCATTGTAGCAATTAAATGTGTTTTGGGATGAGAGCTATCATGAGTAGATGCATGGGACGGCAGGGCCGGACTGGGAGAAAAATTCGGCCCGGGCATTTTTTTAACACAGCGGCCCACTAAAAAGGGGGCGGGGCAGAGGAGGTGTGTTTTGTCATCACCAATGACAAACACGCCTCCTCTCAAAGTGAGCATGTTGGTTCAATGCTCTTCCAGGGCAGACCATGCGCAGAGCTCTGCTGAAGAGCTCTAGCATGAGAAAAAAGTCCTGTATTTGTTCTGCACAGTGCAAGCAAATTTAATAACATGCTTGCACTGTGTTTCCTTGCAACTTGTCTCTGGTGTCTCTATAAATGGATACCAGGAGACAAAAGGTCAGGAAAGAGTATTGTGCATGTGTTTGGAGCCTGCTTGTGGTATTGTGTGTGTAGAGTGAGCTGGTCGTGGTGTGGTATTGTGTAATAAGGTCGGTTTTAGTCGTGTTGTGTTTGTGGTGTAATGTGATGCATATGTGGCTCAGGAACCCCCTCCCGCACGGCTCTGGAAAGGGGTTAAAACTTACCTTTTTTCCAGCGCCGGGCGGGGAGCTCTCCTCCTCCGATCCGCCCCGTCGGCTGAATGCGCACGCGCGGCAAGAGCTGCGCGCGCATTCAGCCGGTCGCATAGGAAAGCATTTATAATGCTTTCCTATGGACGCTTGCGTGCTCTCACTGAGATTTTCACAGTGAAAAGCACGCAAGCGCCTCTAGCGGCTGTCAATGAGACAGCTGCTAGAGGCTTTGGGGGAAGGCTTAACCCATTGATAAACATAGCAGTTTCTCTGAAACTGCTATGTTTATAAAACAATAGGTTAACCCTAGAAGGACCTGGCACCAAGACCACTTCATTAAGCTGAAGTGGTCTGGGTGGCTAGAGTGGTCCTTTAAGAGTGTAGTGTGTGTGTGTGTGTGTGTGTGTATATATATATATATTTGGAAGTATTGTGTATGTGTGTGGTGCAGTGTGTTGGGGGGGTTCTGTGTGTATGTGAGGGGTGCGGTGTGTGTGATGTGTGTGAGGGGTGCGGTGTGTGTGATGTGTGTGAGAGTGCCGTGTGAGTGATGAGTGTGAGAGTGCCGTGTGTGAGTGATGGGTGTGAGAGTGCCGTGTGTGAGTGATGGGTGTGAGAGTGCTGTGAGAGAGTGCTGTGTGTGTGTGATGGGTGTGAGAGTGCTGTGTGTAATGTGTGTGAGAGTGCTGTGTGTGATGGGTGAGAGTGCTGTGTGAGAGTGCTGTGGGAGAGAGTGCTGTGTGTGATGGTGTGAGAGTGCTGTGGGAGAGAGTGCTGTGTGTGATGGGTGTGAGAGTGCTGTGGGAGAGAGTGCTGTGTGTGATGGGTGTGAGAGTGCTGTGGGAGAGAGTGCTGTGTGTGATAGTGCTGTATAAATGTTATTGTGTGTGTGTGTAGGGGGGGGGTAAATAAAAAAAATAAAAAAGTCATTAAATCCCCCCTCCCTTCTTACCTTTAGCCTGGGAGGGGGGGGGGGCGGCATGCTGGTGACTGGGAGGCCGGGTTCCCTGGTGGTCCTCGTGGGTGAGTGAACTCTAGCCTGTGAGGCTAGAGTTCACTCTCGCGAGATCCGGTCGTTGCCATGGCAACGCGCCGGATCTCGCGAGAGGAACCCGGCGGAGCTGCAAGTTAGAGCTCCGCCGGGTCCTCTCTCCAGCCTGGCTGGCTCCCTCCCTCCCTCCCCGCCGGCGGCCGCATGTGGGCCGGTCAGGGAGATCCTTGATCTCCCCACCGGCCCGTCGTGGCAAACAGCGGGGCCGGCGCTCGGATAGTGCCGGCCCTGCATAGACCGGCAGGGGAGATCCTGAGACCTCCCCTGCCGGCCTCGGCCCATGGCCACCGCGGCCCACCGGGGATTTGCCCGGTGTGCCCGATGGCCAGTCCGGGCCTGTGGGACGGTGAGTATTGATGGTTTGTGGATATATTAGCAATGTAATTGCAGGCAGGAAAGGCAAAATATTAGGCCAGAAAAGGGCCGTGCACTGTAATCATAAAATAAATACTAAAATAGTGTGCCTCCATTATGATAAAAAAAAACACTGCAGTCCACTGCTCAAAAGCAACAAAAATGGATAATCTACTGTGATGTAGCACCCTTCACTTAGGAATTTTGTGTGCAAACCCTTTGAGGGTTCCTCGTCAATATGTAATCCTCTCTTCTCAAGTCCCTTATTGGGATATGTACAAGACAAAAACGTGAGAATGGGGAAGACAATGTGAGTTCCATACATAGAGTAGTATTGTGTGATAAAAAATCTCAGAATAAAAATGTGTCTCTTACATTAAAGCAGACCGTAACAGCATGCCATTAGTAATACACCAGTATTCTATACAGCACCTCTTTCCTACAAATCCTCCAGCCAGAAACCATGTTCCAAAACAGGCACCATATTTCATTATTCGCTTTATGTTCTGTTAGTGAAAACAGACTTTAGGTCAAAAATTTAAAATAGAATAGTCTTCCCAAATGCGTTTTGCCTGTAGATTGAGGCTTCATCAATGGTAAAAACCAGAAGTGAATTGAGGACAAGCAGAATAATGTATATGGGAAGATCGTGTAACCTTGTTGTTAAAGGGACACTATAGTCACCCAGACCACTTCAGGTCAATGAAGTGGTCTGGGTGCCAGGTCCCCCCGGTTTTAACCCTTCAGATGTAAATATAGCAGTTTCCGCGAAACAGCTATGTTTATTGCAGTGTTAATCCAGCCTCTAGTGGCTGTCTTCCTGACAGCCGCTCGAGGTGCTTCTGCGCCGCTGGATGCGAAAATCGTATTCAGTGTGCAGAATGTCCATAGGAAAGCATTGAGAAATCACTTGGGAGCTGACGTCGGCGGGGTAGGAGAGGTCACCAGTGCTGAGGGAGCCCAGCGCAGGATAAAGGTAAGTAGCTGAAGAGGTTTTAACCCCTTCAGCCCCGCGGGAGGGGGAACCTGAGGATGGGGAGGACCTAAGGGTTATATAGTGTCAGGAAAACGAGTTTGTTTTCCTGACATTATAGTGTTCCTTTAAGACACATTGTCAAGCAAAATTATCACTATCAATATCAGATCGCTCTTAGAACATAGCTCGTTTCCAATGTTGTTGTTTCCAAACTAGAAAATCTTACTAATTGTTACTGCCAATTTCCAACTGAAAAAAGTTTTAACGTTTCCTATAGAGAATAGTAAGAGATGCTAAGCTGTACTTAACAACTCGTTTCCCTGTTAGATAGTAAATTTGAATGGCTGCAATCGCCAAAACTACAACCTTCCTTAGCTCAGAGTAAAGAAAAAAAGCCAACCTAACAACGGCAAACTCTCATTTACCTAAAGGAACGTGCTTTGCATATATCATTATATTTAAAAAATAATAGGAAGCAGGACGTGCCTTTAATACTGTTCATTTATGGTTGCTATGGCAACAACTAAGAAAGTGCGCATTTTGTTTTTTTTTGTTGGAATCGCTAATAGATAACTGATCAGCTGCAGAAGGTATGGATGGAATTTGATTTTATTACAGCCTGGATGTTTGAAACCTGTTTACATTTTTTTTTGGGGTAGCAAATATTACTCACTTTCAACATGAATAACAGTTTATAGATAACAATTAGCAATTGCATTGGGAATTAAACCTTAACAGTCAAATGTCTGTTTTACGTGCAATTCTGTTTTGGTGTCCAGAAATTGTGTAAATAAATCAAAATGTGTCAGCAAATGATTCATATGTTTTCAAGCAAATACCATAAATATGAACTTATATGAGCATTATTCCCTACACTATTGCCCCAGAAAACTGATCCTTTAAATTGCCTTTCTGTGTGTTAATACGATTTATGTTTTAAGCCCTTAAATGCCATTGACAAGCCAACTATGATACAAATGGATTTGCCCAACCTTAGAGGATTATGGAATGGTTTATAAAACCACTTTCTCTATAACAGTGGGTTGGTGCTGAGGTTTACCACTTTTTATTTTAAGTCTACAATATCTATTTAATATCAGTTATCCATGACCATCTACTGGAGAGCCACAGACCAGTCGTGAATTGTAGAAATTTTGTATTGTCTGCTTGATCAAATTATATTTGATGTTTATATTGGTACTGAAGAATAGTCACATGAGTTGTCTAATGCTAGAATTAGCTATGAATGTATTGAAATACTGTAAAAAAATGTTAATAAACATGTTCATGAAAAAAAAAATGTAAATCATAGTTTGACATCTGTTAGTTAAAACAATATGCTTTTGGCTGGCTTGTAAGGCATTGATCAGAGGACACTTTATCTCACATGGATCTCTAATTCATAAGGATAAAAAGAAAAAGATAATAGATATATATATTCCGCTGCAATGTTCACAATCACTTTATAAAATCCACCATTCGTTATAGTCCATTAAGAAAATCAGACAGGAGATAAATGACTTACAACGTAAAAAGACGGAGTTTATGTTAAAAAGACTAAAATAAACCTCTGACTACTCACATGGTAATAAGGCTAGCCGTTATGTTAACAAACAAATTAAGGAAACGTACAGCAGCAATATCAATACCGTATTTAATTAACGAAGCAGGCACCAAATTATACAATATACAGGACATGGGTATTTTAGCAGTAAACTTTTATAACGAATTATTTAACCTAATAAATTGCCAAAACACTTACCAACCAAACACTAGTGAAATCAATTCCTTTTTAGATGGAGTTTCTCTCCCAAGGCTCTCATCCCCCCTAGGTTTAGGCTCTCCTTAAACCCATTGCAATAGAAGAAATAATTAATATTATTAAAAATCTCCCACAGGGGAGACTGATAGAAAAATTAGAGAGATTTTAGTTCCACATATGTTGTCTCTTTTTTGAAGACTGCATGAAGAAAGGTACAATCCCAAATGAATTATTAAGTGCTCACATAGTAACACTGCCATAAAATAAAATAACCTGCATCCAATATTGCTTTTAAATCCAGACTATTAAGTATTTGCTAAATTGCTGGCTAATCATATGGCAGAAACCCTTCCTGGTGTAATTTATTATGAACAGGTGGGATTCATTATGGGCAAACAACCATCATATGCAACGAGAAGGGTCATAGACCTGATGGATATAGCTAAAAGGGATAACATGGAATGCCTTCTTCTGCCATTAGATGCAGAGAAGGCATTTGATCAGTTGAATTGGATATATGAGGCACACAGTTGAGATATTTGGGTTCCCAGACCACTTTATAAAAGCAGTGATGAGTTTATACTCCAACTCAAGCATGCAGGTGTTTACAGTGGGATGTTTATAAACCATTTTCAACATCTCTAACGGTTCTAGGCAAAGGTGTCCTATGTCTTCTGTACTATATATACTGTTGTTGGAACCCTTAGCATGCATGATTCGTCAATCAGATCCAATAAAGGGAATTAACATAGAAGAGAGACTGTAACAAAAAAAATAGACATGTTTTCAGACAACATCTTATTAGTTTTATCACAGTCCATGTTGTCAGTGGAAAAGTTGCAAAATATCTTAAAAGAGTATAGTAAGGTCTCTTATCACCGAGTGAACTCATCCTAATCTATGAGAATGGGTGTTCCACAAGGAAATTTAGAGGCATTGAAATCTACATATTTCTTTGAATGGATATAGAGTATTTGGGCATTAGCAGATATGCTGAGATTGAACATATGTCATCTTGTAAATAAAGAAACATTGGAATAAATATGAAATTATGTGGGCTGGTAGATGTACTGCCATTAAGATGATGATATTGCTGAGGTTTTGTCCGGTTCACAGTTTAGTGGACAGAGCCCAAGATGTAGATAGGTGCTGAAGGCAATGGACCAGGCTCACAGTACAAAAGAATCAGAGTAGTCATTGAGAAGCAATCAAGGGTCAAAATCAGGATATGGCAGGTCAGTCACTGAAGGTCTTTACACAATCAGGAGCACAGTACAACTGTCCGAAGAGTGATGGGTGTGTGCGGCTTAAATAGGGAAAGTGAGTGGTATTGTCTATTGAGGTTCCACCCTGGTCTCCATCTCCTGTACCTTTAAAAGGCTCTGTGTCGGCGTGCACGCCCTTTGATTCTCCTGAAGTTCTACCTCCTGTGTGGTCACACGTGGAAGCAGTGCCATTCTCACGAACCGAGTCCCATCTTGCTGTGTTCGGTAACTGGCGTCCGTACGAACCGGATTTCTGTCCTCTGTATTGCTGTGTTCGGTAAGTAGTGTTCTCACGAACAGACTTCTGTTCTTCCTGCGTTCGGGAGCCGGAGTCCGTACAAACTGAGTTCTTCCTGCAGTGTTGGTGAGTGGCATTCACACGAATAGTGGTGGCATTCGTATGAACGAGTGAGTGGTTGAGCTGACCATGTTGCATGGGGGTCGCAAGGTAGGTGAATGTGGGAGTGGGGTCCTGATAGGTTTTTACATGCCTTCCATACTATCTCCATCCCCTTTCAAATGGTGCAACTGAAGACTATAAAAAAAAAACCCTTAATAATAATTTACACACATATCTGAAACCTAGGGTGGCATTTAACTTATTACACAGACAGGTGGTATGGGAGTACCACACCTGATCACATATTATCAGGCAATGACACTGTCCCAATACCTGCTATTTTGCTCAGCTCCCAGCTCAGAGAATGATTTTTACTTTATGGGCTCCGGCTAACCTGAGCGTCCCCCTGTCCCCCCCAGCTACTTGTGGTGGCCCTCTAGAGGTAATACAATTGTAACTAGTTTATATTCAGAATTGTCCCTTAGAACTTTTCAAGAACTATATGCAACTTTTCAACTAACCACAGACGACCCTTTTTAGATCTATATAATTTAAGCACCTGCTCTCCTCCCCCTAACAGGAGAGCACTTAGCTGAAAGTACGCTGACCCTTATCAAATCATTAGCCAGAAATGTAACCCAGATCAAAGGTGAAATTTCAATTAATTATTCTACTATCCAAACCAATACGACCTCGATGTACCCAACATACAAACCGACATGGGCATTATGTTTTGGAAACGAATAATGTTATATAACATGAAGTTTACTAAATCCACTAATAACTTTGAATTATTACATAAAATCTAGTTTAAATGGCACCTCACTCCAATCAAATTACATCACATGTATCTTAAATACTCGAGGCTCTGCTGAAGGAACTGCAGAGAGAAAAGAAAGCTACTTCTTGGTAAGGTTGCCCAAAGACTGTACCTAGATAGGTAGAGATTTTTAAGATAATACATGACAAGTTACCAGTGAATCAAAAATTTAGCTCAGAATGCACAATCTTGGGTTTATACCCTCCAGATATAATTAATTTGAAGTGTAAATGAATCTGTATTCTATTCTTAGGTCTAAAAATGGTAATAGCATAAACTTGGAAATCACCTCTGGTGCCAAAACTTCTACTGCTATGAACGGGAACACAGTTAATATTTACTTTCGGTTTTATTTTGTTAAGCTTTGCATTTTCACAGTGTTAAATTGTTGGACAAGTCTTGAACCATGCACATTACAGTTATCTGGCATATTGGAAGGATTGTTTAATATCAGTAGGATTGAAAATCTTTAATAAAAAATATTGTATGTAAGAAAAACTATAAGTGTTTTCCATTTAGAATACCCAACCTAAGGCTGGAGCAAGGTGAGGATCTTAGGGCAGAGAGTGGCCTAGTACTGGTTGGTGGGTAACCAGCAGGAGTTGAGCTTCGAGCTCCCAATGACTACATTCCCTAGACCTGATCACTATATATGTATGAGGTAGAGGCAGAATACCTGTCTACACTGGTTATAGAAGTAAACAATAAGGGTTAGAACGTGCAGCAATAACTCCACACTGTAGTTCCTTCAGTGTATAGTAACCAAAAAGCAGAGAAAAATTGGAGTAATGCGCAACTCTTTTTTAAAGTGCACACCCAGGTGCTTCCATATTTATTTAAAGGACAAAGTATAGAATGCAAGCGTTTCGGGCTATGGCCCTTTGTCAATCCTAATGTCCTTGGATATAGCATGGATACAAATACACATATATATACATAAAAGTGCTTACATGAATTCAAGTGCCACCACCCACATTTCAAACAGGTTCAAAATCAGCTGTACAGCAAGTTCCAGCATCCATCTACCACCCTGAGAGCTCCAACCACTTCCTGGTTCATCTGGGCGTGCGTGATGACGTCAGATGTTGCATCCAAGAGCGTGACGTCATTGGGTCCGGTTGCTAAGAAACGAGTAAACATAAACTCGTTCTAATGAATAGTATAAGTTAGCATGCCATAAGAGAGGCTAGAAGATGTATTTCCATCATCAGCAACAGTATATAGTGTACTAATACCACATTTAAGCATATACATGTATCAGAAGGTGCAAGGGTAGTATGGGAAAATCTAGAACAGCTGGTATAGTAGTTAAAGGGACACTCCAGGCACCCAGACCACTTCTGCCCATTGGAGTGGTCTGGGTGCCAACTCCCACTACCCTTAACCCTGCAACTGTAATTATTGAAGTTTTTATAAACTGCAATAATTACCTTGCAGGGTTAACTCCTCCTCTAGTGGCTGTCTAGTTGCCAGTGAATCTAAAATTTAGTGAATCTATTAGACAGCCACTAGAGGGCACTTCCGGGTTTAAAGCACAGGTTTTCTGTGCTATAGCGTCGCTGGAGGTCCTCATGCTATGTGAGCACCTCCGGCATTGCTAAAATCCCCACAGGAAAGCATTGAAAGCATTTTCAATGCTTTCCTATGGGGAGGTCTAATGCGCATGCGCATTAGGTCTCCCCCGGCAGCGGTCGTGATCAGTCTCCCCTGCTGGCTGATGTGGTGACAGGGAGGAGCGTGGGCGGACCAAGAAGCAGCGCCGAGGGACATTGTCGCTGCCTCTGGTAAGTCACTGAAGGGGTTTTGACCCCTTCAGCAACCGGGGATGGGAGGTGGGAGGGAGAGGGGACCTGCAGTGCCAGGAAAATAGGTTGTTTTCCTGGCACTGGAGAGTCCATTTAACATATAAAATAAAACATAATTATATACACTATAAGTAAAGAATAAACATAAAAACAAGCTCATTCTATGTGAGGATATACAGCATGCCACAAATGTATATAAAGGGAGACTGCTAATCAAGACAAAAGTAGATAATGAATAAGATATTGTACATACCCAGATCCAGG